TGTGTCCCCATCACTGTCTTAAATGCAATAGAGGCTCAGTAAATGTTCGACAAATCTACTCAAACCTCCAGTAAAGGGATATTGTCTTCAAAGCAGCTTATTTTTGTGTTAGAAAATGTTACTACTACTTAAAACTTTTTAAATGTCTGTAAACAACTTAAAAATCATAAAATTATAAATCACAGAGATTATGTGGCTTATTACTGTCATTTTATGTCTGAGAAAACTTAATATTAATTGACTTTCCCAAAGTCACAAAGCTATTAATTTGCAGATTCATGGCCATAAACTCTTGTCCTTTGAGTCACTGTCTAACAATATTATTTCAGATATTTGAAATTAGTTTCCAGGTCCCTCTTCGTCCTCTTAGACAGTGAGGTTTAAATTTCTCACATCTCTTCATGACCTAATTCCTAACCACACAAGCCTGTTCCTTTCCACTTCTCACCCTCCAGTACCCACCAGATTCACACACACACATACGCACACACACACTTCCTGTGGTATCTCAAATACCACGTGTTTGCTCAGTTCCACACATACTACATGCTGGACCTGTTTCTTTCCCTCTTGTGAGATCTTATTCATCCTCAAACCTCAGCTCCGGTGTCACTTTCTCAGTGAAACCTTTCCTGACCTATCCAAGCAGCTTTAGGTGCTTCGTGGAGCTATGTTGACAGCATTCTTAAACCATTTGTCAAATTGCTTTAATTATTTTATTACAGATCTATCTCTCCCTTCACCAACCTCTTAAGTTCCAATCACACAGTAGTTATAACTCTGATGTGATAGTGAGAATTCAGCCCCCTCACCACTTGCCCAGTTTTAACCACCAGACGGGGAATCCATTCTCCTCCAGGACATAATATTAACATTTGAACTAATGAATAAAAAAAGGAACTGATCCACACTATTACAAATTAATGGCCTCTGTTCAGTGTGACTTTTTTATTTATAGATGTGCATAAACTTCACCTTTCTGAAATCCAACAATGGATAATTTAACATGTATTTAACGAAAGGTCAGTGTAATCTTGGTTGTGCCTTTTCCATTTCTCAGAACTCTAAGTGTGCATGCCAGTTGCTTTCCAGGACCCTGGAATTGCTATTTGGCAGAACTCCACAAGCTAATGTCAGCAAATCATCTTTCTGGTGGTACCACAAATGTGTCAGATGCCCAACCACATTTTGTTCTGACTTCCATTCCCTGGAGCAGAGTAGGTAAGAGTGTGAGATCCAGTGTCAGGCAACCTGGGACTGGTTTGCATCCCAACTCTGTTCTTACTGCTTACTAACTGGATGATTGTGGGCAAGGCCTGAAACCTCACTTTTCCCTTCTGTAAAACAGGTTTAATAATGGTAATTGCCTTATCATGGTATTATCAGGATTGCGAGTTAAGTAAGTAAGCCCCTTGCATAGTTTTTGGTATGCAATAAGAAGTACAGAATTTTTCCCTGTTGCTACTACTAATTGTTAAAGTCTGGAGACCCAGGATTAAATTTCAGCTTTACCACTAACTAGCAGAGGGAACTTGGGTGAGTGAAATAATAATAATTATATTGAACTTGTTTATCCCCTCAACAGATAAAGACCATAAAGCCATTTTAGTGTTTGATATTTTATTTTATTGGAGGATATACATAATAAATACCTTGAATTCTCTAAAAACAATCATTAACAGTAATATAATAATTATAATCTTAAACTATTGTCTTACTTCCTATAGTGCTTTACCTTTCCTTTGTATCTAATATCATCCCTTCCCATGAAGGGAGGGGCACATTGCATACATTTTTGTGTATCCATCAGTACCTAGCACACTTTTTGAGTGCATACCATCTTAAGGATTTCACAAACATCCCATTTGATGTTCACCAGAAGCCTTTAACATAGATGTTATATCTATTCTATTTTTAAAATGAAGAAACTGAGTCACAGATAGATTAAATAAATTGTGCCTAGTTATCCAGATTACAAGGGGAAGACCCAGAATTCACACCCAAATCTCCATGATCCCAGAGTCCAAGCTTCCTTGTGTTAAATCATGAAACAGCATCCCCTATACTGCTCATTTGACAGTTAATCTTTGCAGTGAATTGATCGTATAGTACTGTCAGATGAATAACTAAGCTCTTGTTTGCATATATTATGGTTTTTGGGTTTTCCGTATGTTCATGCCTTATTTCCTGGAAGTTTACATATTTGTGTCCCCATCACTGTCTTAAATGCAATAGAGGCTCAGTAAATGTTCGACAAATCTACTCAAACCTCCAGTAAAGGGATATTGTCTTCAAAGCAGCTTATTTTTGTGTTAGAAAATGTTACTACTACTTAAAACTTTTTAAATGTCTGTAAACAACTTAAAAATCATAAAATTATAAATCACAGAGATTATGTGGCCTATTACTGTCATTTTATGTCTGAGAAAACTTAATATTAATTGACTTTCCCAAAGTCACAAAGCTATTAATTTGCAGATTCATGGCCATAAACTCTTGTCCTTTGAGTCACTGTCTAACAATATTATTTCAGATATTTGAAATTAGTTTCCAGGTCCCTCTTCGTCCTCTTAGACAGTGAGGTTTAAATTTCTCACATCTCTTCATGACCTAATTCCTAACCACACAAGCCTGTTCCTTTCCACTTCTCACCCTCCAGTACCCACCAGATTCACACACACACATACGCACACACACACTTCCTGTGGTATCTCAAATACCACGTGTTTGCTCAGTTCCACACATACTACATGCTGGACCTGTTTCTTTCCCTCTTGTGAGATCTTATTCATCCTCAAACCTCAGCTCCGGTGTCACTTTCTCAGTGAAACCTTTCCTGACCTATCCAAGCAGCTTTAGGTGCTTCGTGGAGCTATGTTGACAGCATTCTTAAACCATTTGTCAAATTGCTTTAATTATTTTATTACAGATCTATCTCTCCCTTCACCAACCTCTTAAGTTCCAATCACACAGTAGTTATAACTCTGATGTGATAGTGAGAATTCAGCCCCCTCACCACTTGCCCAGTTTTAACCACCAGACGGGGAATCCATTCTCCTCCAGGACATAATATTAACATTTGAACTAATGAATAAAAAAAGGAACTGATCCACACTATTACAAATTAATGGCCTCTGTTCAGTGTGACTTTTTTATTTATAGATGTGCATAAACTTCACCTTTCTGAAATCCAACAATGGATAATTTAACATGTATTTAACGAAAGGTCAGTGTAATCTTGGCTCTTTTTTAGGGACTATGGAGGTCCCAAAAAAGAGGCTCATATCATAGTTCCTTTCTTCTAAGAGTTTGTAGTCTTATGGGTGGCAAAGACTTAGACATACACACTCCAACTAGGACTCACCCACTGGTACAGTAATTGTCTGTTTGCCCTCAAATGAGATTGTAATTGACTCCTAAGGCAGCAAACTAATATAGTCTAAACTTTAAACTTACCCATATTTGAATACCAATCTTAAATATTCTGCATACTAACCAAGCAAGACCAAGCACAGCCTTGGTTCCATCTCTACAAAATGAAGATAATACTTACTTCATGTGCTTACATAGATAATATATGTAAATCACATAGTGAGTGTGCAACAAATAATGGTGATAGAGGTAACGCTGCAGTGAATGTTGATGATGTTTACAATAGTGATGATATTAGCACATTGAACTGTAACTCCTTGAGAACAGGATTATGTTTATTTTTCTACCCCCATCACCCACCATAGGACCTTATGCATAATGACTAGTAAGCAAATATTTGTTAGTGTTTAATTACTGAGTCCAAGCTATTGAAAGCCATGAGAAGATGGAAAAGAAGAGACTGGAATGAACTAGAATTATTATGGGAATCTTAATTGGGAGTATACAAAGGATAGATTTTTTTCATAGCCAAAGAAGAAGACAGAGCTTATTAAAAGTAAAAGAAAAAAAAAAGCATAGTGTGTAGCCGGTGCCAGGGTGGGGAAGAGTAAATGTTCTGTCTGATGGCAGAGAGAAGCAGGGGCCGTGTGACAGAACGCTCCATCATCACCGAGACCTTACTGTTCACCTTGCTCACAGTTTGCCTAGAGACTGATAACAGAGGCAACAACTCTGAATTTTGCTCCTTTTGGAAACTTCAAGTTGTCTCAAAGCCATACAAGAAAATGTTGCATTTAGGCAAACTATTTGGAATAATGGGAAGAACATGAGCATTAGGGGGCAAACCTACATTTAATTTTAGTTTTGCCTCTTAACTATGTTATCTTGGGCAAGTGAGTTAACCTCTTTGAGCTTCAATTTTCTGTAAAATGGAAACACTAATGCTTCCGTCCCAGAGCTGATGAGGAGCTTGAATGAGATAATTCTTCTAAGGTATCCAGTGCAGCACCTGATACCTGATATGTAGCAGGTGTCCGATAAACATGAGCACCACTGTTATTTTTTATGGTGTTAATTGGTATATTTACGTGTTTGTGCTAAGTCAAGTTGTATATTTTGATTGCATATGTTTTTGGACATGTAAACCTGAACCTCCTTGATCTGAGGGTAATAAATTTTTGAAATGGAAAAAATCAAGAAAAGGACAATGTGTAACACAGTACTCCATGGCTATTTGTCTCTTTAAAATGAAATGCAAAAAATTTTGAGTATATAGGCAATTATACAGGGTGAATGCTCAAATAGGAAGGAATGTCTTTTTCAACTAAGTGTTATACAAACTGTCATTCAAGTACTGCTTTACGCTTTATGTAAAATATTGAAAAGACTTTGTTATTCTGCTTGTATTTTTTTCTCTAGTAAAATACAATTGTTTGTCTGTATACCAGCCAAATATTTCCTTTCAAATACTTGAGCTCTATGCTGAATATACAGAGTTATGGTTCTTAGCACATTACTTTTTTTCTGGTAATAGATTCATCCTCTGATCCTTTAATGGGCTTTTAGTTTCACATATACTAAGGTGTCTCCTATGTCCATAGTAAGTGAAAGTTTTTCATTTCATGCAGGTTCTTCTAGGGGACCCAGCCCCCTAACCATGGGAGCTCAGGATACCCTCCCTGTTGCAGCAGCATTTACAGAAACCGTCAATGCCTACTTCAAAGGAGCAGATCCAAGCAAGTAAGCCTGGGGCTTGGTGCACTGTATTTACCAAACTCTATTCTACTCAGTGGGGGATGCCTTAAATATGCCTNAAAAAAAAAAAAAAAAATCCAGTCAACAATAACAGGTGGCATATGTAGAATGGAGGAGAAAATTTAATTAGGAATATTAATTCATGGTTTGTAAAAAATGTACCAGAAGGTCCAATAATCTTACTATCCACAAATCTCTGATCAGTTTTGGTTGCAAGTTACAGAAAACCTTAACCCAACTCCATCAACAGTGAGAAAATCTCTTATCTCACAAAAGTAAATGTCTAGATCATGTCTTTATTGTCTTAGTCTTGCCTGGGTGGGAATCACCCACATGTAAATTGAAACAATGGTGTACTGGAATAAGAACCTGGAGAAAGCACTTTTCAATAACACAATTTAGTAAGAGGACAAGTTGTGTGTTACCCTTAATAAGTAAGGAAAAACTGGCCAGAAAAATTAAGACAGCAAAGTAAAAATGTACCACTCTCTATTTATATGAGTCTGATTTCAATTATTTCAGTGCATACTAACAATAGACTTGCCCTGATTGCATATGTTATATAATTAGATATCTTGCCTCTCTACAAGAAGTTCCATGGGTAGGGTTCATATGAATTCCTTAAAATCACATTGTATATCTTATGTGTGTGCATATGTGAATTATTTGTCCATAGACAGGGTCTACAGCATTTACCAATTTCACAAAGGGGTTTAGGATACCAAAAAAAGGTAAGTGTGATTATTAGTCTATACTGAAAGCTAAGCTTCTAAGTCAAACTGGCTTTCAGGTGTGTCACTAAGTCAGTAACACAATTCTAGGTACAAATGTGATTAAATAAACAAAGGAGAGATCTAGGTAAGAAAACAAATACTCTTTATTCTTTACTTACAAAGACTAGGGCATGGAAAACTTTAGTATCCATAGAAATAAAAATGAGAGAAAAAAATTAAATATGTATAGAGAACACTAGACTGTTCAACAAAAAATTTTGAAACAGTGGTAATTAAGTATAATTAGAACTTGGATGCTCACATATATTAAGTCGAAATCTGTATGACTAATTGTGAATCCTCTTTATACTTCAGAAATGCTAGTATTTTGAATTCTAAATCTAACAGTACTATCCTGGGAAACTAATATAATTAGCTTTTCTACCTTTAAGTGTCCTACTAGCCCCTGGAATCTGTCATCCTCCCTATGTATCATATACTTTTAAACAACATACAGATTTTACTCTAGGCCCAGCGTATTGTAGAGAAAAAAAAAAAACATTGTGTTGTCTTTGTCCAGTTGGGCTACTTTAACAGAATGCCATAGCCTGGGTGGCTTATGAAAGACGGAAATTTATTTCTCATTGTTCTGGAGGCTGGAAAGTCCAAGATCAAGGTGTTGGCAGGCGGATTTCAGATGAGAGCAGCTCCCTCGGTCTTAATAACCTCCCATGGTGGAAGGGGCTAGGGAGCAATATGGGATCTCTTCCATAAAGGCACCTATTCCACTTAGAGGGTCGACCCTCAGAACCAAATCACCTCCCCACAGCCCCGCCTCCAAACCCCATCCCGTTGGGGATTAGGTCTCCACATATTTATCTGGGTAGAGCACAACCATTCTATCTGTCGTACTCTGGTTTCTCCCGTGTCTTCCCTCTTTCATCTTCAAAGCAGGAAGGTAACTTGCCACATCTACTTCCCAGTAGAAATTAAAAGCTATCTCATTTAGAGTGTGCATTTGAACAAGCAAGCACCATGAATTTCTTTGTTTTTAAAGTATACTTACACTTAATATGTATAAAGTGTAATACATGCATACATAAATGTTTGTTCTTTAGACTCTTCTTTGAACCAAGGATTTGCAGAACATCCTGTCATACCAGTTCTGAGGACTACTTATTACTGGCTGACCTATACCTTAGAAAGCTCAGGCTGACCTGAATTGATAACAAATGAGTGGAAACACACCTTAAAAAAATAAGAGTATCAGGAGTGTAGAAAGATGTTTATACTGGAGTGAAAAACACTGGGAATCATGCAAGAATGAATTCTTTTTTGTCTGCTTACTAATTGCCTTTCATTCATTTATTCAGAGATCTAATTGGTAATAGTAATACTTCCACTTCTGTCCCCCTAAAATCTATTCTCAATGTATCATGTCACACCTGTGCTCAGAATCCTCCTATCTTGTTCAAAATAAAAAATCAAATACTTTGCAGTGGCCTAGAAGGCCCCACATGATCTGTCCTTTGATGTTTCTACCCTTGCCCAGCTGCCCCCTCTCACTTTATTTCCTTCACTCTTGTCCTTATTCACCCTTCCCTAGCCGCCCTGACTTCATGGCCGTGTCTCTTCCCTCACCCCGGCCCCTTCTGCCTCTCAGGGTCTTTGCATTTGTTGCCCCTCTGGCCTGGATGCTGTCTTCTCCCAGCTGTCTCAGAGATTTTCCTCCTCCCTTCCTTCAACAGATTCATCAGAGACCTTCCCTGTCCATCCCTGGTAAAATAGCAACACCCATCTCACCTGCTGTCAACATTTCCTTCCTCCTTACCTCACTTTCTCTTTCTCCATAACTCTTCTTTCTAATTAACATGCTACATGTTTTCAGTGTCCACTGCCCCTAGAATGTAAGCTCCATGAAAGCTGGGACTTTGAGCATTTTGTTCATTGTATCCTCAGGACCTAAGATAGGACCTGGCATCTTCGCTGGATGAGTTGGGTTGAATTACTCACTTAACATCCACAGAATGACTACTATATGCCTGTCATTATGTTAGGTGGTGCATTGGTGAAGACAGTTGATAAGGAAAATAAGACTTGTACATAAATATAATACAAAATCCAATAGAAGACAAATAGATATAGTGCAATGGGAGTTAAGAAGCCCTTAATAATAATTTCTTTTTAAATCCCAGAAGTAGTGTGTGGCAGCCTCCTAGTCACTTTGTGGACCTGTCCCTATACAAGCTGGGTTCTTCATCCTGTTCTGGTTTCCCCAGACCACTATATGGCAGGTGTGTGGGGAGAGATGCACCAGTGAGCATGGCATTCATGACCTTGACATTCCTCCCATGTGGTGCTTGAGCCATATTACTGGTGCTTTCACTTTGCTCTTACAAATTAACTGAGCCTCTGACTTGTGGATGGCTGCATACATTGAGCCTGTTCTCAATTATATTGGCAGAAGTATTTGCAATGTATACCACATATTGGTAGACAGGAGATTCAGTATATTTCATTAAAATAATGAGATCTGAAATTTATGAACAGGTCATGAAATAACATTCTTCTAAATCTAATTTCATCTCCAGGCAGTGAATCATTTTAATTGCTTTTCCTTTGTTATTCACTTTTAAGGAAACAACTCAAGTTTGACAGTTCGATCACAGGGGAGCGGGGGAGGAGGACGATAAAGCCAAACACAGCACCCCATAGAGAAATGATCCGGGAAAGGCATGTGGATTTGCTTCGGCCTGTGGTTCCCTCATCTCACACCAAAGCCTTCCCCATTTGTTTTCAGGCCGTACATTGGAAAGAGAAATATACTAAATTATTATATGCTATGATAAGTAACACATGCAAATATAGTTACACTCTTTCCCTGAGTATCCAGAACACCTGTAACAGGTATTCTGACATTGAGTCTTTCTCTGTAACTCCTACGCAGGGAACTCTTGCTTTTGCTGCTGGCTAGGGAAACACATCTCCCATTATTTGCTCCTATTTGACTAACAATGGTGCTAGGGATCAAGTCTCTAGTTCTCTGGAAAAGCTTATGTTTCTCAGTTACATTCTGCCCTTCTCTTATTATCATATTTCAGTTATTTATTCAAATATCTATCCCCCAGCTTAACTTGAAAGTCTGTGCAATGACCACATTTGTCCTGTTTCTCATTGCCCATTCTAGGGCTTAACATAATGCCTGGTCTATTGTACAGGCACCCTAGGTATAATTGCTAAATGTATGAATTTATTCCTAAAATATTTCATAGAGTTCCCACTCTGCCCTGAGTACTGCGTTAGGCACCTCTGCTTTCCCAGAATCTAAGACACAAATACTTGCCTTCTCAATAGCAAGAAAAATACATGCAAGAAACTACACAGCAGATTTCAGAAAAAAAAATCTGTACATTTGTCCAAGGAATTTAGAGAAAGGAAAAACTAAGGAAGACTGAAAGGAGAGGATATAAAGGAAGGTTTCAGAAAAGTCTGCCTCTCAACTGAGTCTTGAAAGAAGACAAGGAGTTTACCTAGTACCTAAGCCAATGGAGGGATTATATATAAAGGAAGGGAAGCTGCATATACATAGAAGTACATTCACTTGAAAAGAAGACCATGTTAGTTATCAAAACAGTACATAGAAGTCACATTTTACATGAGGGATGCATTTCTGTTGACTTTGCATGAACCAAATTCACACAAAATTGACCAGCCTCTCTGTTGACCAGCTAACATGGTGCCACCTGTAACAATAGGGAGAATCCCGTTTGTAAGTCACTTGGACCATTGACTTTGAAATTTTGCCTTGTTGACAAATGTTTCATTTGAGAGGATTCACATTATTTCAGATTTCATTCATAAAGTCAGTCTGTTACTATTTCAATATTGTAATATTTTTGATTTCCATAATTCAGACCCACATGAGTTGTAGCCACATTACATATGGACTAGAAAAATCTTTAGGTTGAATAAAGATTTTCCTACAGTGAGTATAAGTTGAAAATATTTTTGTATTATAGATAATTTCAGATCAACTTAGACACTGGATAGATTAATAAATCAGCCAAAGTCTGACTCTGTGAGCTGAGATGCAGTACAGATGCAGTAAGTGAGGAGGCTTGGTGCTTCCTATATAGGCTTATATTGAGTATTTCTCTCGTCATCCACCCAGCACTGAAGCCCTTTTAAGGCAAGGGCTGTTTTGCTCATTTTTTAATTGAATTTTAATTTTCACTCAAAACTAAAACAAAAACAGTTTACATAGTTACTAGCCAATAAATGTTTATTGACTTAATAAATGTTTATTGACTTAATAAATGGTACCTCCCCCACATTGCTGACTTGCCTTCAAAAGAGAAACTTTATTCCCCATTAAGGCATCACCTCAATCTCATTTTGAGCAACCTAGAAAAGAAACTGAGCAGATTCTACCAATTCAAAAATATTTGAGCCAACACTCTTAGCAACAATATACTGAGTAATGGTAGGTGCTGAAATCTAATTTAACAAGTGCTCTAATTACTGTTTTCTTCTAGAATTGTGAAATTATATTTTGCATGTCCACATATTGAAAAACAAGAGTAGACTCAACTTGAGGGAAAGCCCAGGCTGAGCACCAATTCAGCATTAGTCTATCAAGCAAGGTTTAGGATCTGAAATACAGAGAAGGAAAATGGCAGGGTTGGTGTCCAAACTGGGAGATCAGAGATGGAGGTACAAACTTTCAGAAACCAAAATTCAGAGTGGTGCAGAGTTATGGATGATAATATCTGGGTGGTGGGGGTGGTGGACACATGGCAACTTTAGGAAGTTCACCTGCCCTCCACCTTTATCCCACACCCAGCTTTATATATACAAGGCTACAGCACTTCTTCACATAAGCTATTTTAAACGAGTACCAAGGACCATCTCACCTGAGCCACATGTGTCTCATCAATCACAGCTACACAATATACAAGGTTCTATGGGGTGCCTTGTACTCAAGATGTAAGCAAAGTTTTAATCTCAGTTTCCCTAGAAAATACACTATGGAAGTTGTGGAACTGATAAAACTGGTCTGTTATCCAGATGTATGGTGAAGTCATAAAAAATTTCACTCAATGTAAATACTTACTGTTTCCCAAAAAATAAACCTTTTGAGATTCCTGCTTCTTCTTAATATAGAGCAACAGGCACCTATTACCCTTCCAGCTAAAAACACCTCAAAAATGAACAAAATAATGAAACAATGGTTTGCAAGATGCTAGACCTCAGATGAGGTGAGGTGTGCCCTACGAGTTCCCCAGTTTAATTCCTTAAGAGTTTCCAGGTCATGGCATAGGGAGAGCCCAGCAGCCTTTCAGCTGTTCATGGGGCGCTGTCTCATTGAGGCACACTCTGCTATAAAACTGGCTGAGAGGGATGCCAGGGAAAGCTAATGGCCCATGAATACTGCTGGGTACCACCATGCACTGCATTAGGTGGCTGTGGAGAAGGTGTGCACATGACAGGTGCTTGGCGCTAGAAAAGCACTGCAGGATCTGGTCACAAGGCCAGAGCAGCCACAGACACTATGGAAGCCAAATGCTAAGGGGGTTGCCTGTGCTACTGGGCACCAGCAAAGCCACATGAGCTGCTATACGCACGCTGGTGGTGCCATATACACTGCAGGAGTCACATACCAGCCTCCTGCATTGTAGGAGCTTGGCACTAGATTAGTCCTGAGTGCTGCAGGAGTCAGCCTACCAGGCACACTGGAACCAGAAGGGAGATCTCTTCTTCTTGCAGTGTCTTTCCAGTGCCCTCTACTTTTAAAACTTAATATGGTACCCGTTGGGAAAGAGAAAACATATAAAGGGTCCAACAGTAATTTTCTCAGAGTAGGCAGTAAAGGGTGAATTGGCACTACATCGATTTTATGTAGAAATTGACTCAGTGACGCCAAACTTCCTCTGGAAATTCAAAGGACCTACAATGGCCAAACAACTTGAAAAAGAACAAAGTTGGTGGACTAATACTACTTGATTTCAGAACTATTATAAGCTAAAATAATGAATACAGTGTTATATTGGTGTAAAGACAGACAAAAGAGATAATTGGAACAGAATAGAGAATCCAGAAATAGACCCCCATATATGCAAAACTAGATTTCAACAAAATTGCCAAGTGAAGAAATTCAATGGAGAAAGGACAGAGTTTTCTGAAAAAAATAGTTCTAAGACAATTAGATATCCATATCCACAAATAAATCTGAATTTGGATCCATACCTCACACCTTATACAAAAAAATCAAGTAAAAATGGATCATAAAGCTAAGTATAAAATAAAAAACTTTTAAAAGAAAATAAAAGTGAAATTTTTGTGACCTTGGATCTAGGAAAATTTTTCTTAGATGGGACTCCAAAAGAATAAATTGATTAGATACAACCCATAAAATAATAAATTGATGAATTAATATTTCTGCTCTTCAAAGCTACCCTTAAGAGAAAGAAAAAACTACAGACTAGAAAAAACTCTCTGCAAAGCATGTATCTGATAAATGATTTCATCTCCAGAATGTATAAAGAACTCTCAAACTTCCATAAGGGAACAGAAAACACTTTAAAACTTAGAAGAAAATCTGAGCAGACACTTCACCAAAGTAGACACTGATGACAAATAAGCTCATGAAGACATGCTTAAATTATTAACCAACAGCGAAATTCTCATTAAAACAACGAGATACCATTAGGCACCTATTAGAATGGCTTAAAACTAGAATTAAAAAGCCAGATCCTACTAAGTGTTGGAGAGGATGTGTAAGAACTGAAACAGTCATGCCCATTGTATTTTCCACTTTAGAAAACAGTTTATCAGTTTCTTAAAAAGTTAAAGGTACACCTACCATGAGATCCAGTGATTCCACTCCTACATATTTACCCAAGAGAAATGACAGCATATGTCCATACAAAGACCTGTACACACATATTCATCACAGCTTTGTCTGTAATAGGCAAAAATTGGGAAGAATCCAAATATTCTTCAACAGTGAATGGATTCAAAAGAAAAACCTGTGGTATATTTATATGCTACTCAGTAATAAAAAGGCATGAACTGTTGATGCACACAGTACATGGATGAATCTCAAAATACACTGAGTGGAGAGAGCCAGACCCCAAACCCCACCAAAAAAAATCACGTATTTCATGATTCAGTTTTATAAAATTCTAGAAAGTGCAAATTAATGTGCAGTGTCAGAAAGCATGTGAGAATCGCCTAGAGATGTGAAGTGGAAGGATGGAGAAGGGCAGCAGTGAGGGACTACAAAATCACCTGAGGAAACTTTTAGGGATGCTGGATATGTTCATTACCTTAATTGTGTGATGGTTTCACTGATGTATGCTATGTCAAAAGTGATAGAATTTTACACTATAAGTAAGTGCCATTTATATGTCAATTATACTTATATAAAACCCTTTGAAATGGAAAGGTTATTCTTCCTTCACAATTGTCATTCTACTGTGTTAACTTATATGTCTGATTTTATAATTTCAACCAAATAGACAAACTAATGGAATGAAGATCTAGTTAAATGGAAAGCAAGAAGCTTCTTTACCTCATGAGTACATAAAAGAACATGTTCAAAGTATCAATCGTGTTACTCAGAGAACTAAATAAGTCCCAGTGAATAGTGTGATAACATTTTGCAACTTAGTATCTTTGAATGTGCTGCCAAATGGCCAGAAATCAAAAAGAGAACAACCCAGAGATGTTGACCGAAATCCACACAGCCACTGCATTAAGAAATTTATTTAAGTCTTATTAAGGGCCATGACCCAAGAGGGCAGTTGATCAAAGAGCTCTGCTCAGCCTGCTTTGTCTGGTGTGACATTAATTAGTACATCAAGCAGCGTGTCAAGGATACATTTGGTTTTGTGCCCTAAAAACTACAGACTATGCACATTTTGGGGCTATCTGTGTGCGAGAGTTAGGCAAGGGTTAGCAGACTGGTAAGTTTTTCCTAAAGAATTCCACCAAGGACATGAGAACTTGACTCCTGCTCCGTTTATTGTCTTTGGTGTTCTTGGTCATGGGGGAGGGGCTGTGGCCCTCTTCTGACACAGTGAGAAGGCTGTTGGGCGTCTTCACAGCACAGCGTGCATTGTCCTGGCTGACTCAGGCCCTCTGCAGCCCACAGAGCTCTCCTTTCCTGTGGGTCCACTGCAGGGGGCCATACATGACATTTTTATTTCAGAGAGATGATTCTATTTGTGAGGTGAACGTAGAGACTTTCCAACAGAAAGAAAAGCTGCATTTTTCTTCTTACAGTTCAAAAACACATTCCACAACATAGCCACTTTTTTTGGATAACTGTTAAAGCAAACCACTGTGTTCTCAGATCTTAGAAATGATTTAGTAGTTGAGAGTGGAATTAAAAGAGATTGCCTTTCATCTTGTCTGCTGCATAATATTGTTACATAAATCTTTTCTTTTTCGCCACTGTTTTTTTTCACAGCCTATTGACCTGAGTTTCCTCCCTCTTTCTTCTCATGTGTTCTGATATGCCAGATGTATTGTGAAGATCACTGGAGAAATGGTGTTGTCCTTTCCTGCCGGCATCACCAGACACTTTGCCAACAACCCGTCTCCAGCTGCTCTGACCTTTCGGGTGATAAATTCCAGTAGGTTAGAACACGTCCTGCCAAATCCCCAACTTCTCTGCTGGTAAATATATTTTGCACAAATTTTTGGAGATGTGCGTAGCTTCGCATTTTAGATGAGGGATAGACTTAGCAAGGGAATAGCACTGTAAGAAATTATTTCTACTCAGGTATGTGTGTAGAATCAAACAGAACTTCTACCAACTGTCAGCGTTTTTGTGGATGACTGTGTGTGTAGGCATGTATGTATTTTAATGTATTCCAACTATATCTAGGGGCTAAAGAAACATTTGGAGTAATTAAAATTTGCATTAATGACAACTTATTCATTGCCTGTTTTACTTATCTTCAATAGGCAATGGGTGAGCAGGGTAGGAACTGAGCATAATAAAATAAATAAAATCCATTTGTTATATTGGCATCTTTTGAAGTCAAATGATATTTGGACTGTGAGCTACTCTCCACATGAGCTTGAAATTTTTTTGTGACCAGACAATTTCATTGTAATAGTAATTGTTTTGATGGAACTTTACATGCATGACATCAGAGAAGCTTATATTAATTTGTGTATGTAAATATATTTCTTCACATTTTCTATTAAATCTGACCATGAGGTCTTTATCATACATATGCATGTGCACATTTACACAAACATACACACATACATGCTTTTAAAATAATCGACTATGAAAGTTAATTATTGGCAATGGATGAGATGAAGGGAGTCATGACAGCTTCCTCTTCATCATCTAGTCCTGATATTTCACCTAAATATCTCTCTCTAAAGTGGCCATTTTTTTCCTTCACTCATCTCCCTTGTTCAAGTGATCACTGTCATTTTCCTGGACCATGGCAATTGCTCAACTCCTTCCCTCTGTGCGTCCAATCTTGCTCCATTTCTACACTTCTCACACAGCAGCTGAGTGACCTTTTATTAACTAAATCAGGTTGGCCTCACTTTGGGGCTTTCCCATTGCATCTGACCCAGAATCCAAACCTGTTACCATTGCTTTTGGGGGCCTGAGTCATCTACCTTGTCTGCTTTTCTGATAATCTCCTACGATCCTGCCTCCAAATCCTTGTATCTCCAGGTAGACCTGCCAGTCTTAAAAATGCTGAGGATGTTTTGTGCTCGTTTCCTCTGCCTCCAGTACTGTTTCCGCCCCTCTTCACCTGACTCCTACTCATCCTTTATATCTCAGCTCTGCTGGGCCTCCCCTGACCATCCCACTCTCCTCTCCACCCACAGCCACCATTCCCAAACTAAATATGTTCAGAATGACAAGAGACAATAAACTTGATTCTCTCTCACAGTACTCTATTGTTTCCCTTTGTCACACTTACTAAAACTAATAATTGTGTGTGTTTGTGTTTGTTCATTCACCCACCACCCCCACTCACTAGATGGTAAAATCCATGGGAGATGGAAAACATCTATTCATTCCCCACCATATCCTCAGTACCTTCCACTGAGCCTAGAATCTACTTGAGTAATATTTGTTAAATGAATGAACAACTCAACTGTAATTTAAAGAATTTAGTCAAGCCAGGTATTTGTATAGCAGTAACTAAAGGTTGTGGATATTTGGAATATTCAAAGACCATTATAGTCACTCACTTTCTTGAATGAATGAGACTTTTTCATGCCAGTGGTGAAAATCAGTCACAGGTCCTTCAGGTGCCTACCAAGACCACCCTCCTCTTCCCTGGTCTTTGTGATGGCTCCACTGGCAAACTTCCGTCCATGTTTAAAAGTGTAAAAGAAATAATCATCCATTCAGTGAAAAATGTGAAATGATTGAGCTTAGGAAGCAGCAATGTCTCATTTCAGTTTCCCTCCCTGTTTTTGATGTGCACGTTGAGCCAAAACCTAATTTGATTTTTCGAGGTTACTCAATCTGAAATCAGGAATTACATGTCACCCTCTCCCTGGTTTGAAAATATGTCTCATGTGAAAGTTACAGTTATTGTTGCATTTTTAGACAGTTTTATTGCCAAGGTCTTAGGCATATGTGCAAGAGCTTTATATAGCTGACTCTTGAAAAACATGACAGTCACAGGTGCCAACTTCCAAAAATTTAACTATTAATAGCTTACTCTTGACTAGAAGCCTTACTGGTAACATAAATAGTCAATTAACACATATTTTATATGTGTATTATATGCCATATTCTTACAATAAAATTAGCTAGAAAAAAGTTTTCCCGAATTGCCACAAATCTCCAAGTAAGTTTCCAAAATATTTATTGAAAAAATTCCGTGTGTAAATGGACCCATGCAGTTCAAAGCCATGTTGTTCAAGGGTCACCTGTACTTAGATTGATGTATGAGTCTTATGAAGTGAGTTAAATATCACTCTGAGAATGTTTTTTTCTTTGAGAAAACACTATAAATACCCTTAAATTATTATTTACTAACACAAAAAATCCTCATTAATTTAGACCTTATTGACTCTCAATGTTTGATTATTGTGTCAGATCTGAGATTGGTAAACGAAGTGACTTTTTATGATTTAGATGTTCTTAGACAAAATAGTGTGAATGCTAAAAAAGGTAACATGTTTACTTTAGTGTGGCCCTTTTCTCCTTGGTTGGAGATAAAACTATGTTTATTTTTAGCGAAATATTTAACTCAGCAATTTTTGAGAACCTTACTGTTCAAGTTAATTCAAAAGTAGATCAGAGTACTCAGATCCTTGATTGCATAAGATGACTAGTTGAGAAGAAACTGTGGTGATGTAGAAAGGGCTATTAAGTTTGAGTTAATAAATTATTCACTCTTTAAGGCAACCAATTATCGTCATGATTGGTTAATGTTACTGGGTACTCACTGAGACTTACAGCAATACAATAATGCCTCCCTATGGGTATTAATCTATTAACATAATTCAAAACTGCAATTGTGCTAAAACCATACTGCCATTAATAATGTAATCTGTACATAGCATCAAAAATGAATATAAAGCCCAGAAGACAATTTGCTAAGATACTCCTTTATGTGGTTTATATTTGTCACAAGATGCTACTCAACCATTTTTTCTTCCCAACTGAATAGCGACAATACCCAAAATGATGCCAATACCAAGGAATTCTGGGTAAACATGCCAAATTTGATGACTCACCTAAAGAAAGTGTCGGAACAAAAACCCCAGGCTACATATTATAATGTAGACATGCTCAAATATCAGGTAAGCCTATTTATGTGGTCAGGCTATCTCTTTCACATTACAAATGTATGTATAAGTAAGTAAACTAAGTAAAAGTAAATAAAGTAACATTTATTTTAATATTATTTAAAATCTGTAATTTATGAGAAAATGGGAACCCTAAAAGACTACTTGGGGACTACTTATAGTGATGAGAATATTCATACATATCCTTACGAATTTTATATTATAACTAAGATATTTTATTAAAAAGTTAAAGAGACATGCCAAAAAATGAAATTGAAGAAAATCTATTAAGATCATATAAATATTGATAAACAAACTCATTGTAATTTTGTTAAGGATATTACTCTACTAAAACCTCTTATTTTAAATGATTATATGTAAGTAATCTGCTGTTTTTTCATCATATGATAATCCTATGAAATAACTTCAAATAAATCTTATATTAAGAAATAATTTAATGAGTAAAAGAGTGTTTGATACAATGCAATACAGCATGTGAGAATTTTCTTTTTGTGTCTAGGATTGCCCTTGATCCCAATTATTATTGATCTAGTAAATATGCCTATATCAAACCAGGATTCTATAGAGCCAGATTATCCCACTGATTCCCAGCCACTTGATCTCCTAGTTATTTATATTTAGTGCATTGTAATTTGTGATTAAATATGTACAAGTTGTTCTTAAGATGAGGAAACAAAGTCATTATTTTTTTTAAGTTGTACTCTAATAGAAATCAGTGCATCTCAAACATGACTGTAGTTTACAATCACCAGGGAACTTGTCAACAAAGGCTGGTTCTGAATTGATAATAATTATAGATAGCTAAAGATATAGATGATATAGGTAAAGATAGATGTCTATATTAGAAATGTATCTATAGATAGATATAGGTATAGATGACATAGATATAAATATAGATATAGATATAGATATAGATATAGATACAGATACAGATACTGGTATTGGTATAGGTATAGGTATAGGTATAGGTATAGATATAGATATAGACATAGGTATAGATATAATGTACTGGGCCCTACCACTTCCAGAGATTTTGATTTAATTGGTTCAGTATGTGATCCAAGTATCTGTGTTTTTCACAAGTCCTCCATGTGATTATAATACACCCTATGGTTAGAAAACCACTTTCTTAGAAGGAAGGAATTGAAAGTGAAATATCCATATGATGGTACATTTTACAAAGATGCAAATGAGTATAATGTTTTTCCTGTAAGAATAGTACCTAAGAATTGGACATTAAGGATAATACCAAACAAGCATATGATACAACAAAAATTCATCACTTTTGTAATTAAAATACAATAGAAAATGCATTTTTATTTATCTTTTCTTCCCCCAAAACATTTCAGCACAGTTAGTGGCTTCTTTTAGCTTCTGAGAGAAATGTAAAGAAATAAGAAAAGGAAACTCCAATGTTATTTTACCCTGAGTGAGAACATTAATTTCAGGGCATATACATAGTTCTTATGCCCAAAAAGGTAAAAATAAGACTGTAGTTGTGTTCTTTCATGAAATTTCATTACAAACATTGCCTCTACATTTTCACTTCATATTTTTTAAAGATTTAAACATTTTAAATCCTATGAAATTTTTTAGTCTCCATATTTGTCATTAAACAAAACTAGACAGTAGATAGAATTTACCTACTGCAACATGAGCCTGTTATAAAGTATTAAAGTTTAGGCAAGAGACTGAATTTTGAAATTAAGTAAGCTTCCTATTGGCCACTGACTTGGGGCACTTAATCTCCCTCATCCTGCTTGCTCATCTGCAAATAAGGGTAACAATGATTCCTACCTAGATATTTTATAGGTTTTTGTGAGGAGCTAACAGCATAATATATTTCAAAGTACTTTATAAAATGGAAGGCACCGTGGGCCTGCTTTTGATTTAAAGTGTGCTCTGAGGACTCCCTTTTGCTGTTGTTTCATTGTGGTGTTGTTTCCCAGCAATGCAAGGAACTCAGTCACAGGCACACTAGCATTTTTGTGAGATTCCCCCAAATCTCAGCATGTAAAGTTTCTGGCCACCAGAGCACCACTCCTTTCCCCAGTAATGGGGAAAATTAAAAACACACCCTCACGTATCCAAAAAAGCACCTCAGTGGGTAGAGAAAGTACAATCAAGTTGAGAATGGCTGCTGAGAGCAGAAACGGGCAGGGAGGGCGAGATTACTCTGCTTTGATCTATCTTAAATAATAGATTTCTAAATAAGAGTTCATTTGCAGAGGATTGTGTTGCTAAAAATATTTAAAGTTTAAAAACTATTACAATGGTTATCTAACTAAAATTGTCATTAAAAGCCACGTCTGTCATTTTATAAAAGAACCTATTTCTGGTCTCGTTTCTGCAGCAACCGTTCCTCCTTATGAGCTAAACCTGCCCTGGGGACCCTTCCCCATGGTGTCCATATGTGCGTGCATTGCTAGGCCAATACAGAGCTATTTATATTCTTCAAAATCAGCAAAACTTATACTCTGTGGATAAAACTGCAAGGGCACAGATGCCACTCAAGTAGCCCCTGCAGTGTGCGTGTACTTGTAAAAGAGAATCTCCTATAACTATTCATCATCACAGTGAACAATTGAGAGATAATAACCATGAATTTTTCACTGTAAACTGAGATTTCAAGTTGTTATTATTGTCTTTAAATAAGACACATTTTTGTTGATTCTTCAAACCTGGCTTTTCCCGTTCTCAAAGTCAGTTATTCCAAAGAGAATTGACAGTAGACAGTAGAATCCAGCACTTCCAGTTAGAGGACCTGGGTTCAAGTTCCTACTTTAGCAAATCCTCAAAGGAGTAATAATAACCTGCTTTGTCTAAGTCACTGGTTTGTTGTAAAGAGCAAATATGATAAGAATATTAATAGGTGACCTGCATTAAAACATTAATTCCTCACTTTCTGCTAGGCAGAGTGTTTTACATGAAACATCTCTTTCAGTCTTCCTGACAATTCTATGGGTAAATATTATTGTTAAAGTTCCATTTAGCAGGTGAGGAAATTACTGAGGCTCACAGAGGTTTAGCAATTGGTCCAAGGTCACTTAGCTTGTAAGTGACAATCAAAATTCACACCCAAGACCTTTTAACTCCTTGGCCTCAGCTCCTAACCAGTGTGCTGCCACCACTCTAACCACCACTCTTACTGACATAAAGAGCATTGTAAACTCTAAAGCGTTATATTGATTTTATGTCTTTAATCTTAACAATTTACCCCAAGCAAAATATGATGATGTCTTGATATCTAAGAACATTCCTATAGGAAATAATCATAGTTTCAGGTTTGTTTCAGAGTAACAGTCAAGCCTTAAATATTCTCTTTCCTGTCATTTGCAAGGTGTCTGCACAGGGCATTCAGTCCACGCCTCTCAACCTGGCAGTGAACTGGCGGTGTGAGCCAGCAAGCACTGACCTGCGCATAGATTACAAGTATAATACGGATGCAATGACAACTGCTGTGGCGCTCAACAATGTGCAGTTCCTGGTCCCCATAGACGGAGGAGTAACCAAGCTCCAGGCTGTGCTCCCACCAGCAGTCTGGTAAGGAGCCACCAGTCCCCTTCCACTTCACCAAAGGGCTCCTTCTGGGCAAAGGTATCACTGACCTCTTAGCATTTGTGTTTCCTGCAGGAAATCACAGCAGGCCTCTGTGCCAGGGTTCAGAGCAGGAAACAGAAACCACTATAGCTATTTTAAGCTGTTTAGATGCTCGCACAATGGTGGAAGTGCTGGAGGAACAAGCTTTAGGCTTCATCTCCAAAAATATTTCCCAGAACACTGCAGAACTAGCCCACCAGGGGAGCTGCAACCTCTGCCACCAGAAGGACAGACAATAAAAGGTGGCCAGTGGTGCCACTGAATTCAAGCGCCCCCACTGTTACTCTTATCTAAGGATAAGAAGGCTCCCATTGGCACTGCCTTCACAAAAGTAGAGACGACTGGATGGAGCACTGGTGTTAGAAGATCCACACATCCCAGTTAGGTTGCTGGCCATCAGAAAAAAGCCAAAACAGCAGCAGAAGATGGCCTCTGCCTCCCTTCTATCCTCCAAATTGCAAATGGTGTATGTAATTGGTAGGCCCTGATCTGCATCTAGGACCCGATGTACAGGGAATCTCAGATATGTAGGGTTTTCTTGTGTAGTATCTGGAGTATAAAAAAGCATACTGGGTAAGATATGGGGACAGAAACTAAATAAACACTAAGTAGCAATACTGTCTATTAAAAAGAACTTATTCTCCTAGAAAAAGTACTCTAGTTTTTCCTTATGATTGTCAGAGGCAAAAAAGAACATTAAAAATAAAAAAGAGAAAAGTCACATGGCAGCTCCAATTCAAATTATGTGAATTAATTAATTAGCTAATTCATCTCATCTATTTTTTCATTAGATGTGTTTAAAAAAATTTAACTTCATTGTCTTCTAAATGTTTATCTATTTGACAGTGTTGTGCTAGTTACATTATGGAAGGAAGATGAAAGGAGAGAATTTATGTATGGATGGATAAATGGGTAGATAAATAGAAATGTTTAAATTGTAGTTAAAATTTTTTAAACCCACACTATGTAGAAAAAAAATATGGCATCCCTTAAACCTAAATATGCCATCCAAAAACACTTGCTTTTGCAAAAGTCTTTTACTTATTTTATTTTTAGGAATGCAGAACAGCAAAGAATATTGTGGAAGATTCCTGATATTTCTCAGAAGTCAGAAAATGGAGGTAATGTAATCACAGACTTGTTTTACTTAATATGTAAAGCTGAACTAACTTCCAGGTATTAGAAAACTAATAACCAAAATACACTTAGCTCTAAAAGCAAGCAGAATATTTCATACATTAAACAGACCATACCTTAAGTGAAGAAGAGCTTTTAATGAGGCATCTTTCCCATTCTATATCAGATCTCACATTGCCTGATAGTTCAAATATTTTTCACTTTCTTCTTACATTAATCGTAACTTGGAAAATGCCTTGCCTTCCAAGTAGCATGCTCCCAAATTTTGAAGTACCGTTAGCTGAGTTACACTTTAATCAGCATGCAAAAAATCTGTCTTACCGTTAGCGATAACTTTTCTTCATCACCATTTATCACTGAAACATACATTATTTTCTAGTATCAACACAGTATTTTCTAGATTTGCAGGTTAACTTTTGAATATAACTTCCAAAATCATATCCAGAATGTTGTGTTGACCATTATCTTGTAATCATACTCTTTTTTATAGGGGTGGGTTCTTTATTGGCAAGATTTCAGTTATCTGAAGGCCCAAGCAAACCTTCCCCATTGGTTGTACAGTTCACAAGTGAAGGAAGCACTCTTTCTGGCTGTGACATTGAACTTGTTGGAGCAGGGTATCGATTTTCACTCATCAAAAAAAGGTTTGCTGCAGGTAACTGGATATTTTGTGAGTTTCACTTGTAAGAAAAGCGATGCCTTTGCTACGCTTCCTTAAGAAGGAACAGGTTGTGATTTTCCCTTCTTCCTCTTTTTCCCCCTTCCCAACCACCACTCCCCCATTCCAGTTAGAAAGCAAACCAATTGTTGAATGAAGTAAAAATAGAACAATGAACTGGAAGTCAGAATTAGGAGGGCCCTGACTACTTATCATGCTCTGACTGTTTTTTATATTTGGCTGACTAGTCATTCCTATTATGTACATGCATACATGAGGTTAATGAAGTAAAGCCTACTCTTGTCACATTGACAAACAAGATAAATGCTATTTGCCTTTGAATTTATCTCTTGCCTGAAAACTTTTTTTTTTCCCAACAGGACTTCATAGATTTTAGACTTGGCAGGCTTAGCTGCAATTTCAGAGGATCCGTCTTTCATTTAAGTAGCAACCTTAAAGAATCTAGGCCAGAGATTGGGACTGGTTATCCATGACTGAACATGGCTATGTGGTTTTTAGTACACATGATCATTTGTGGGTGGAAGGTTTCCCTAATATTAGGGTGATTATACTTGTGAATGATTTGTTGGTATATGTCCTGGTTGTTGTGCCAGTTGTACTTATGTAATTATTAATTATATCCCTTATATTCTCAAAAATGATCCAGATTGAAATGTAATTATATGGGCATTCTTCCTGTAACAAGGTAGATTCTCATATTCAGTAACAAATCTCCAACTTATTCTGGGCCAAACCCAAACCATTGAAAAATGTTCCGACATGCAAATGTGAAAAGGTAACCTGCTGGTCTGGAAAACTGACAACTTAGAAAAACTTTATTATTTTATATTACTATTGTACCCCTCAAGTATGCAGTACTTGGCTTCAGGGATAGGACAAGAAAAAATAGAAATGTTCCATATAATAATTACATTATGGAAATAGCAGGTAACCTGTTGATATGTTTTTTTTTGTTTTACAGGAAAATACTTGGCAGATAACTAATAGAATCTTATGCAAGGATTTGGAAGATTCATGTAATGGAGAACTGTTATATGAGAAACAGATTTTAATTTTGGTTTAATGAAAACAAACCAGAATCTGCACTTGGGATATATCTGCTGGAAATGTCAGTGACTTTCAGCACTGATTTCCCTCACATAATACCATGATGAGCAGTCCTACAGTATTTACTTCTGGGTGTAATATTGTTAATGGTTTTAAAATGTAATTATTGTATTTGTAAATTGTACTCATTCCAGTAAGGCAATTAGACACTTGAGTTTTAGCATTTTACCATTCCTGAAATGGATGTAATTTAAACTGTGGTATGTAAATTTAATAGTAGTCCTGTTGAATGGCACAATGCTTACAGAGGTAGATTGCATTCTGTCAATATATAAAATTGAAATATAATATTGATAGCTGTCATAAAGGGGTACCACATACAAAATTAAGTGGAACCAGAAAAAACTTCCTTTTCTTCAGTCCTTAGTAAGTTTTAATGTAGTGCTAAATAAAAACTCTATCTTCAAATGTTTAGTGAGTTAAATTCAGGAACTATTTCAGAAAAAAAGTTCTAATGTTATGGCATATTCAAAAAAAAGCATTAGTTACCACTTTTTAAAAAGCTTTTTTTTCAAACTGCAAATTTCATAAAAATGCAAACTGTGTAAACAAGGGCCTCTTATTTTTATAACTTGTGTAAAAAGGGAAAGTAATTCATATTTAAAGTTTAAGTATATGAAATTATAACCAAGAGTAAAGATGATGTTGAAGTCTTAACTACTTCCCTCTCTCTACAGTTTAGCAAATGTGGAGATTGCTGAATAATGTCAGACTAGAACCAAAATTGTGATTTTAAAAGTTTAAGACTGTCCATAGTTGAACTGGGTAACAACTTTTCCACAGTCACATTAAAAAGGGAGTCTGTCCCACCTAGCAAAGCAGAGGGCACCACATATCTTCCTTTTTACACATAGGAATCAAAACATTGAGACTACAAATCTTAAACACAAAAGCATTTTAGTCCCCTGTTTAAATCCAGAAGGAGAATTTTAATCATCATCATTTATATCATTAGGAAGGAAAAAAATAAGCTTTAAAAATGAAATCCTATCCACATTATTGTGTGATAAATTTCCTTTTGGATAAGATTCATTTTATGTAGCTATAAATCTTTGCCATTCTTGGGGAATCTAAAAGAGAATTATCAAAAATTTGTGTCTTGATTTCATTGTTGCTAGGTATAATAAGAACTGTAATTACTCAATCTGACCTCTCAATATAGGATTCGAAATGGAGAAGCACTTCTTCAGAGGTAGGTCCCAGTTGTAAAACCTTCCTTCTTTATGATCTGAAAACATGAAACTTCCTTTAAGTCACAGAACTTATTTTAAATATAAACCAATTTCTATTCTAGGTTATACTATTAAATAACTTAATTAAGTTGTTATATTTACCATTAGTTGCTAAATTTCATTTTGCATTCACTCATGCTTGACAAAGAATCTTTACCCCTGTAAATTTTAGAATCAAATTAAATTTTGTAAGTCTTATTTTTGAAATGAGATTGTGACTGGCATTTGTTTATAGTGGAATTTTTAAATTAATTTTTGTACTTTTCAGTCAGTGCTTGCTACCAAAAGAATGTTCAAATGATCTGTTTTACCTTAAAAGAATTCTTATTTTTCAAACAAACTCTCAATTGACTCCCCAAGCAATCTGGTGTTGAAGTTTTTGAACAAAAAATTAATATATTCATTTTAACTAAATATACTCAATTTGATTTTGAAACAAAAATAGAGAATACAAACTTTTAAATCCCATGAAACATGGGGACATTTCAAATACTAAAACCAATCTAGAGTAAGCAGCAGAAAATTGAAAATTGTCCAGCATATAAATATAAAAATGTGTTTTTAAGTAATGAATTCATGAAAAACATATTGAATATTAACACAAACCATATTTAAAATGTGTAAATATTAGTGGTTTCCATGTCTTGCTCTTTGTATTTTATTGTATTTTATTTTTTAAAGTCCTAGAGTGAATTAGTAACTAAACATGAGTTTTTTCCAAAGAGTAGTTGTGTTGATATTGTAAAAATATAATTTTAAATGTAGATTACAATAATTGCCACTGTTATTCAAATGTTTCCAGGAACTAAATTTGAAACTATAAAGATATCCTACCATGTCATAATTGGTCTTTGTAAATCTGAATGTAAGTCAGTGATTTCAAAACTGTTCAACCTTGAATAACCAGAACCTTAATAGAGAATATTCTCTTCTCCTTTCAGAAAATAGGTCAAATAATAACACAGTAAATTTGTAACAGGGATTTAAATTTGGGTAGTTTTTTTGAACCTAATGGTTTATAATCTCCTGTTATACCTGCAGCCACAATACTGTACAATAAGAATTCTGCTAGGAAAAATCATTCTAGACAATACAAGAGTCTCAGTTATAGAAGAAACATTAAATCAGGTTCATTATCCATTCCTAAAACAGGACAAAATGGGCTAGTACATATTAAGATTTCAATACCAGGGGTTAAAATTTTTAAAAAGGGGTTTCATTAACAAGAACTCCATTCCCTGAACATTATGATTTAAAAAGGTTCTGCTCTAATAAGATAGAAAGTATGGATATGATACTGCTTGATTTTGACAACATGGAAAGTATGTTTTTCTTTTCAAATGAATTCCATATTTTTGTGATAGTTTTAAAAATAAATTCTTTTTAAAAATTAGTCTGAATTTTACCATAACCGGAATTTATAATTCCTAAGATTTAAAATTTTTATTAATTTTTAAAGCTCTATTCTTCTTTACACCTAACAGCCAAAATGAAAATGCACTGTATGATATTTGGAAATATATTTCACCTGCAAAGAGAAGACATTTCAAATGGTTTCAAGGGGGAAGGAATGTATTATTTTTGTTTTTATGATTTTTACTCAGTCTCAATCTGCAAAGTGTTTGAGGCAATACCTACACAAATTTCCATGTCTAAGACTTCTTTACAAAGAAGTCTGGTAACTACATTAGCTCTACCACCAACTCATACTATGTGACCTTATGTAAAATGCTGCCCTTTTCAGTTTCTCCCCTTGAGAATGAGGGATTGGGGTTGCCAGTAGTTTTCAAGATATTCTGAACAGCAGGACCTTTTCTATTAAAATTGCACGTGGAATCCTTGTAGGCAAAATAGCTCAAAGCAATGAATGAGTTCATCCAGCAGTTTAATTCCGGGCCCTCCAGAGCACTGATCAGTGATCTATGAAGTTACTTCCACTTCTGAAGCTCCATGATTCTACTTAACTCAGATAAATCCTCCTTTTGGGGCTTCACAAGAAAATTTGTACAATTACTACAATTGACCTTGTATAATAACAATCGCCATTTACTTAAGTGCTTACTATATGCCAGTCACTATAGATATTAGTTCATTGAATTATTATGTGAATTGTACTTTTTAATTCCTTTTTCACAAATGGTGACATTGAGGCTTAGACAGATTATTAATTTGGCTAAAGTGACACAGTAGCTGAAAGGAACCCAGTTATCTTCACTTGCAGAGGGAGCCCCTTACCTATTTTGCTTGTTCATTCTGGGAAATAAACTCTTCTTTGTTATTTTACTAGACAGATTACATTTGAATTCCAAGGTAAAAGGTGCTATGAAAAATTAGTATCAAAATAAGGATAATTCCAATAGCAAAATTGTTGGAAAAGAACATGTTTCTCAAAGTATGATTTGTGGATCATTTGTATTTTTATTTTAAAAGGGCAATGATTTTGGTTTTGTCACCACTATATCTTCAGAGCTTAGAAGATAGCAGGCATCAAAAAATTTATAATGAATGAATAAATCTCTAAGGATGGGGTTTAAAAATATGTATTTGACAAGCACCTGAAATTTGAGAATCACTGCCCTAGTAGATTCCTCAGGTCCTTCTTAGTTCTGACATTATATCAGATTTTAAACATTAAATTATAAATTGAATACCATTTTTCTAGTGAGTTTATTTCTTTCATTCGGTCCATATAACTGCCTCCAATCTTAAAAAAAATAGAGCTTTTTCTAGGAAAATCCCTCTCCTTTCCGTAGAGTTCTCCTTTTATGCTATCTTACTCTCAAGGTAGCTTGAAATGCGTTTTCTCATTTTCACACTTCTGTCCTCTTTATTGTCTTGAAAGATTAAAAGAGCCGAGGTGAGATTGCAAATACAAATTGTATTTGTATTCCAAATACAAAGTCTTAATAAATGTCTCCCCTTGCAAGGGACACTAACTTGTGAGTTGACACTTTTTTTTTCTTACTTTGACTCATCTTTATTCTTTTCTTTTTAATTGAATATAGATGATATACAATATTGTGTCAGTTTCAAGTATACAACACAGTAGTTCAACAGTTACACACATTAATTAAATCCTCACCCCAACTAGTGCAGTTGCTATTTGTCAACATAGAAAGATGTTACAGAACTAATGGCTCTGTCCATCCCTGTGATGAACATATTATGATTGAGTAAATCAGATTATTTATAAATGTGGACTAGTGTCATTCCAAAAGAGAGGCACCACTCATTTTTTATTGGTGTTTCTGTTTTTCAGAATAATCACTGGCTGTCAAAGTTAAACAATTAAAGTTGAAATGTGCATATATCTACTAAGGAGATGATTTTGCAGGGCTTTTTCTTTTTTAAGCTTTTTTTTTTCCAAAAGATTGCGTATTTGACCAAAATCTTATTCAGTTTAAATGTATTCATTTTGCTACATGGCTTTCTGATAAGCATTTTTTTAAATGGAAGCATAATATTTTATGATATCAAAATGCAGGTGATCTCGAAGTATCACTTGAAAAGTGAATATAAATGAACACAATGTTTCCTTGAAATGAGTCTAATTAAATTGTTAAGTGAATGAACAAATCAACCCATGTTACATTGATTAAACAGACCGTGCTGACACCCCAACCCACACCCTTTTACTGTGTGCACTTCTCCCTTGAGGCTTTGTTGTATTTTCCTTTCAGTTTTTTTTCATTTGGCAGACAGCATTTAAGTGTCATTCTCCCAATCATTAATTAAAAGTAGCTTCTATTAACATTGCATTTGTGCATGAAATGTATGGAGGAAAAATGAGATAAGGGTGCAATGTTTAAGCCTCCAAATATTAAAAGCAAACAAATAACAAAAACCCACTAGCTTTCCTCTTGTGTCATTGTTTCCATATTCTGTCATCTTCTATAGGCTGGAGTTGCACTTTCAATATCTAATTGAAATCTAAATACCCTTCTTGAAGACATGCCAGATTTTAGAATCCATTGAGTTGACCATGGCCAGATCTCTAGTTTGTCCCTCATGTTTAATATCTGATCTCATTCTAAATGATTACTCCTATGAGAAAAAGTCACCTCCTTGTTGACATTCACTATGAGTATAATAATTTATTCTCTAGGTTTAGCTTCTAAAGTTATTTTTCCTTTGATTTATAATATTTCTGATTGTCTCCTATCCCTAGGGTGGTACATTGCCTGTTCTAACCACATCTTTAACCTTCTAAGAAAAATGTTTCAATGAAAAGCAAATATATTTTTATGTGTCCCTTAATAGATAAGAAAAATAAATAAATGATATTTCTACTACATTCACCTATATTCCAGTATTTTCCAAATCATGTTCAGGTCTACTGGTTCTGGCAAACGTTCATAGTAGCTTGAGAATAAATGATACTATACCATATTCCCCACTCCTTGGACACTGATAGTAAATCTAGAAAATGAAGCCTAGGAAAGTTATTGGATCAGGAAAACATTTTTTTCCTAAACTTGAAGAAACTTAAGAGATGTTTCCTTTTAACATCAGTTTATGCATCATTCAACAATTGCAAATAATATAACCAGGGATGCTTTGAAAAGATGCTTCTGGGTTTTTGTTTTAACTGTGAGGGAAATTCTTGCCATTTCAAATTAATTAGCATATAAATATTCAAAACAAAATAATGAAATTGTTTTAATATTTCAATTTTTTACGTATTATTTTTGAGATCTTCACCTGTGAGCCATACATCTATCTGTTGCTATCTGCTGAAGATGGTCCAAATTCTTTGCAGAGTGGAATTAGTGCTAGTGAACAATCTTTGGTAATATTTTGTTAAACAGCTTAAGAAACTGAATCATGATAGATTAATGCTGACACATTTTTCATAATCTTATTAGAAATTATATGAAAAACACTTTAGTTGGAGCTAAGTGCATAGATTTTGCAGAACTCTATATTAATGAGCATTTCATAGTTCTTTTTTGCTTTGCTTTTTTTACAAATCAATTATTTTCACACAGAATCAACAAAGTTCTTTTAAAAAATTCCTGGGCAAACTGTTATCAGACATAAAAGAGTAAAGCTGAATCACTTTATATTTCTCTAAACAGAGTTCAATTTTTAATTCATTCGGAGTTTGTGAATCAGTTTGATAGATCATAGCCATTATCATTTTTAAAATATTCTTGAATGAGTATATGTATCATGCAATTGTCAATTCCATCTCAGTTGTATGTTACCTCATTGACATTTTGTCTTTTTTTTTTGGTGAAACAAATGCTTAATTTTATTCATACAAAATTACTTTAAACTATTTAAAATTATGTACCAAGTGACACTCACTGGCATCACTATGTCAAGATCCAAAGACATATTTTTTATTTTCCTTGTGAGATGCTAGGATAATTCTTATAGCTGGGTTAATTTTGCAGGTCAATATTTAGTTCTTGCTTGAAAGATTTTGGCTCCTGTCTAATCTGTCTCTCTGTTTCTCAACTAAGGGACTTGGAAAAGTGCTGCTGAATAATTTTTCTTGAAAAGCCAGTTGTTGGTATGATGATATGCTAATTGTACCTATAAGCAGGGTTTTATCACAGGCCAAGCAGTAATTAATGGAGCTGGCTTTTCAACCTGTTTGAATATTATTGAGTTTCAAAATACAAAGAATTTTATTTCACTTTGTATAGGAAAAAATCTATATGAATGATTGATCAGATTTTAATTTTCATGCCTACTAACTGGCAATGTAAGACATTGTTTTGTTGGGTTGTACTTTTTGTACTTTAACAATAAGAAAAACTAGAAAAAGAATCTCAAAGAAATTTTGCTGTGTTTCTAAAGGTAATAAAATACAGTCAATTGTCTTTCTTAAGGGAAATGCTGTTAGTGTATACTTTAATAATATAATACTTCAAATGGTGGTAGCCTTTATTTAGTATTCTCCATGATCTTTGTAGCAAAAGCAAACTGAATTTCTTTATGACCTTGTACAGAGTATGTAATTTCACAGAACAACTTGGGCATAAAATATTTATAAAAGGAATTATGGGTTAAAATACTCAAGTATACTTTTTAAATTTAATTAAAGTGCCCATGTCTGGCTCTTTTTCCTACATGTGTAATTCAACAGAGAATATTTTATTCTCATAGCTACTGGTTTGTCTGGGATGAAAGTTTTACTGCTTCTGTGCTGTATTTGAGAGAAAACAAGCAAAAAAGCAACAGCTTGTTCCTTCACAGAACTGTAGCAAAGCTCTCTGTTGAGCAATGGTGACATGAATGTGTAATATTACTTATTGAAGGTAATCATGAGAACATTTTAACATTACTTGCCTTATAAGTTAGAAAGGTGTGGATATCATTTTTTGTAAATGATGACTTTTACAACTGATTTTTCCGTCATAATTGTCCCAATCACCCATTTCACAAAATCCTGAATATGCAATTATTTATCATGGTACATCATTGTAACTACGGTTCCCATTTCAGAACAAAGTTCAATTATATGTGAGAACAAGATGAAATATCTGAGTAAGTTGTTATTTAAATGTGCTTTTTTTCTGAAAATAAATAGAAAATTAAAAAATGAATTGAGTTGTAAACCTCTTTTATTAATGGCCCCTTAAAATCGTATCCACATTTCTGGAAAACTCCATTGCATGCTTAGGGTGGGCAAAGTGAACAAAAGGTCTGGCGCCCAGCAAGGGATTTAGAGTAAGACAAATCCCAGCTCTATAATTTAAATATAGACTTGAGCATGTTACTCAATGATTCTTATTTTCTTATCTTAAAAAAAATGAATTAATGTCCACTTATTGAGCAGTGTAAATGAGATAATATTGATCAGTCACCTAAGAGTTCCTACTTAGTACATAGCAGATACTCAGTAAACTATCCTTGCCTGTTATCTTTCTGTGAAGAAGGATTGGGGTGGTCCAGAAAACTTTATTGCTCTTTCTCCAAACTATCCCAACCCTTAAGAACAACTGCACAGAGCGCTCAGCAATGAACATGCACCAGGCTGAGCGTTTAGAGTCATTATCTTATTTCCATCTCCAATGATTACCCACTACATTGAGGTTCCCTTCAGGGTTTGGTTTGGTTTGGTTTTGGCTGGGGAAGGAGTTCCCGAGTTAGGAAGGGAATAGTTATTAATGAAGAAGAGCTATAGTTACCTCAACTCTAAACAGCCTCCTTTTCAAAATTTCTTAAAGTTTAAGCGGCTGGGAAGTGAGTGGTATTAAGGAAATACTAAGGAAAGGGAAGGAATCCCATTTGCACTGCACGGAGAAAAGCCCATGAGTTTCAGGAGTTCCATGAGTTCTTTGGTATCTTAGAACCTCAATTTTCTAAATCTGTGAAGAGAGAACAAGGCTTTCCTGACAGTTGTTGGAACAGCTAAATAAAACTAAAGCTGTTTGTGTCTGGTAAATGGAAACTCTCAATAAATTGTGCCTGTTATCAATCATCTGTGCCATTGGAGGAGGGTGGAAAGCTGTGTCAGGGGTCGAGGGACGGGAAGAGGTTGCTGTGCTTGCTCTTCCTGTCCTGGGAAACCGCAGCATTTCCCATTCCTGCCCCTGGCATCTGCGAGAAAAGGAACTGGGTGAGGGCTCTCGGGGCTACATCCTGAGTCCCAGATGTCCTCCTCGCTGTTGGATGACCCCGCTCCCCTCCAGCACGCGGCCACCCCAGGGCACAGCCGTCTCGGCGCAGCCCCTCTGGGCAGTGACCACGAGATCCTCTACATCCTCGGGGCGGCTCCGAGGAGCATGCAGCTTCCCTGCCCCGGGGCGGGCCAGGGCTCTGTTTGAAGAGATCACCCTGGAGACGCGCTTAGGAGTCTGGGGGAGTGCGCTGCGCCCAGGGGCAGAGGGAGGCGCGCGTCCAGCCGTGGACGAGCCCGAGGTCTGGGAGGCCCGAGCCGAGCTGCGCCGACAATTCCAGCCCTGCCGTGGGTAAGTCGCCCGCCTCACCGTGTGCCCGGCCGATAGCGGAGAAGGGATCAAGACCAGGGTACGTTCAGTGGTCACAGGGGCTAAGCAGGAAGGGCCCTGTGTCGAGAAATGGCCTGTTTGCGTTGGCTACGACCTCTCTGACTCCAAACTCCTCCTCCCCTCAACAAGTAAGAAAAAATAGCCCCCAATTTGGGAACTGTAAGTGATACGGTTGATCCTCCTCCCTCTTGAGTGTCTGGGCTTTAGGGTGATGCCTAGTGCAGAGCTGGCCAGCCCGGTCTATCCCCGGAGCAGCCTGAGTCCCGAGCAGTCCTGAGGCCAGACTGGGGATGTGCGGTGGCTGCACCCCCTATGGCACCTCCTGGTTCCAGCTCTGGCTGCAGGGCAGCCTTGGAAACAGGTGAGCAGACCGAGGTTCATCTATGTCACTTTGGATTGGAACCTGAATGACCCACTTAATCAGGTAGGTTCAGTATGTCCTGTCCACACACAGGCACATTTACATAGACACACTCATACACACAAGCACACACACAGGTGCTCACACAGACACACGATCACTCACACTCACATACATAGGTGCTAGTATTCATACAAGCACATACACATTTGCTCATGCATAAAGGTTTGCAGACGCATTCAGTACACAGACACATCGCACACAAAAAGGGTCACACACAGACACAGACGCACACTCAGGTACACAGATAATGACTCATACAGATGCACACACAGAGATGCTCACATATGTACACATGCAGGCAAACATTTTCATCCATGTGTATAGACACTCTCATACACAGCCTCACACACCCATTCGGACACACTCGTGTTTATACACACAGACATGCTCCCACAGAGAGACACACTCAGGCACGCATGCAGAGATGTTCACACTCACGTACACATTCTCACACACAGGTATGCAATCACACGCACACCCCCCACTGCCAACAGACACCCCACTCCCTTCCAACACACTCACTTCTTCCCTGTCTGAGCGCTCTCCAGTTCCCTGTGCTGCTCCCCCTGCGGTTCCGGGTGGTGCCCTTGTCTGCCTACCCACTTACCTGCCAGCTCCTGGGAGGCAGGGACTCTGCTTTGGTGTCTAGGACAGTGTCTCCTTGTTGGGGGTTCAGACTTTCAGATCATAAAATAATTTAATTGAACATGTAACTTTGTGTGTAGTCGGTGAGGTAACAGAGTTACCATCTAAATTCTGGAAAGTGCATTCCCACTACCAACTTTTAAACAAACATTTATGAGGAAGAGGTATCTTTTCCAAAACATTACTCTGAAAAGTTAACATTACTCCGTTTGCTCTTTACAAAATAAATCACTGCTGCTTGAAAAAAATGACCCTTTGGGGAAGACAATTTTAATTTTTTAAATGACAGCAACAGGAACAAATATTAATTAGCAAAATTTAATCAAGATTAAATTTGGTGGAGGCAATAAAAAATACTGCTTTCTGGTGTGGGATAATATCCTTCTACACATGGCTATCTTTTCTCAGTAACTTTAACGTCTTATGCAATTAAGCATTTTTGCTGCAGCTTAATATTGACTTCTGTGAATAAAGTACAATATTGCATAAGCACAAGTCACCAGAATTTTCAAAGTAGTTATACTGACCAGAATAACAGCAGATGCTAAAAATCATTCTTGAGGAAACCCCACCTCCCTATTCAAAAATGGTAGAAAAATTGTTTGTATGCCTTATTTAGAATGAGTCTCTACATAATACTAATGACAGTGTTTCCAGCTCTTCCCTCTGATGTTTTATAAAAGCTTTCTTCCATAGGTTCTGATAATGTCAGACGCTGCTCCAGGCAGAGCAGCTCATTCATTAAAGGCAAGAGGGAGTGTGTCTTCTCTGAGCACCCATGAATTCAGGCCTAAGGAACTCCATGGACATACCAAAGAGTGAGTTGCTGAATAGCTATTAACTTAACTTCAGTTACTGAATAAACAGGCTCATAATGTTTATCAGGCAAAAAGGATAACACTTCCTTGGAAACATGAAAAGGGAGAAAATGGGCAAGTACAAGGTGCAGGTCATGTTTTTAAAAAGAGAAAAAGAGTGGGAAAACTTGTGATGTTGATCCCAGCAGCATTTTTTACCATTTGAAAGACTGCCCCCCAAAAATCACCTAGTCAAAAGAAACAGCATAAGCAATAGGACCAGCTACTTCTTAACATGTCTACTGAGTTCTTCTTCTCAGCATCATATAAATATATAGTAATGTATTTACATACATATTTGTAATATAGATATATACACACACACACAGATACACATTAGCATTATTTTATACAAATTCTGTAACATCTTTCATGGTTTATGGTCATATCCTTTTAAATGGCTGCATGATATTCTGTCAGTTTTTAATTCTGGGTCAGTTAACCATTCCCTAATTAGGAAATTTAAATTTGTTTCCACCTTTTTTCTTTTTCACTACATAAAAAGTCTTTGCTTATATTCTTCCCAGAAGTATTATTAGTGGGTCATAGGTAATAAAGATATTTTTTGAATCTTGCTACATATTGCATTTGCTTTCCTGAAGAGATCCATCAATTTTTAATAGTTCAATAGCATTTCTGTTTGCCTTTAGAAAGAAAGCAAAACAAATTATTCAAGGTAGAGGTCTTTTAACTTACATAATAGACTTTCCTTCTTGGCAGTTTTCACAGGATTCAAGGTTGTAGTATATTTATCCCTGCAGTCAGGAAGTAGGAGCTGGTATGTCCTGGGAACAGAAACCAAAAGAACTAGAATAGATTTACATTAGAATTCTGAAACCAAATCTTTCATACTGAGTGTATTCATGTAGTCATTTCAAATTCCACTTTCCAACCCTGGATGTTTGTGGATGACCTATGTCAGTCTCTCTTTCTTACAGATAGGAAATATTAAGGAGTAGCAATCCCAGCATATGTCAGAAGTAAAGCTGGGAACCCTAAGCCATTTTGGCTGCTATTTACAAATATTAAGTGTAGGGGTTCTTTTTATATTACTCTATATTAAACGCAAATTTTTCAAGAAAATATAATAACCTGACAAATCATGTTTCTCAGAAAATGCTCTCATCCAAAGACTAAACTATCATCTTATTTGCTTAATTTTTATTTACTTCTTCCCTTTCAGAGCAAATTAGAAAGTCATAATAGAATCAGACCATGGCCAAATTTGAAGAAGTAGGGATCACCCTTCTTTTATTGATGAAGTATAAATACAAATTAAAATAACAAGAATACAGAAATCAACTCATTAGGGTAGATTTTTCACTCATGAATACATTTAAGTGGTAATTATTTTACTATATTGCAAAGTTAGAAATTTGGACTACCAAACAAAAGATTCAGAATGGATCCTCTACTTGTGCTTTTTTTCTTAAATAACAAATAAACTGCTTTCAAGTATCCATGCGATGCGGAGGCCATTTAGGAGGCTGCCTCCCCATCTCTAACTTCTATTTGCTTTCCTGTTTTGTCTTCATCACTGTCTGGGACCAGACGGTACAGGTGATTCTCCTTCGTGAAATGAGTCTTCAGCTAGTAGAAACATTCTGAAAACTTAGTGGCTATCAAATGCAGGCATTGTTTTGAAATTCTAATGTTTTATGAAAAAGCATATACCTTTCATTTGAAAGTTAGTTCAAAACAATTTTTGTTTCAAACAAACAAGTAAATTTCAATACTATGAAGTATGTCTTGAGGATATTGAGGACTTAATACATTACCTCATTTAATTCCCCCAGCATTAATCCTACTAGTTAGACATCATTCTTACCATTTTACTGTGAAATAACTCAGGTTTACTGGTCAAGCAATGGCTTAATGACTAGGATATGTCCTAAATCATGACTATGGCATAGAGGGTCTGCAGAGCCTTGCCTACTTCTCCAGCACCCTCTTCCCACTACCTTGTTTGCATCCTACTCCTCGGCCATACTCATATTTATAATCCCTCAGTGCTCTTGCCTCCAGCCATTGCATCATGTTGCTTTCCCCTGGGATACCTTTATCTGGAATGCTCTTCTTACACTGTCTTCCTCCACCTCCTCCTGGAGGATTTAGCTTCATCTCCACCCCTCTAGCAGGCTCTAACTACCCGACTGCAACCACTGCTGCCTCCAGATTGGGCTGCGTGCTCTTCCCTTCTGTTACTGCTGCTCTTTCCTTCTACATAGCATTGTATTTGGCTGTTTTCTTGTCTCTCTCATTAGATGGTGGACTTAGTACGAGAAGAGTAGGCGGTAGACTAACTTAGAAAGCAGCTTCTTGGGTGTGGTATAATTTCAGCATAGATTCAGCCTTACAGTCCTCGGTTCCTCTGTCTACAGTCTTCTTCAGTAATAACTAAATGCTATATATTGATCCCTGGGCATAATGGTTATCTGAAGTGCCTTCTAAATTGTGAAAGGAAAATTGAATTTATATTCAATGTAATGATGAACTGTTTCTAAGCTTGAGTCATTTTCTTTAAATTGTGTTTTCATTATAATGTAATTTTTATTTTTTTAAGGAAACATCTTAAGCTGGATCTTACTAGCCCAACATCATAACTGTTAGCATGATAGCATATCTCTTTCAATACCTACATAGTTTTCCTACTTCATGTGTAATTATGAATTTTGTTTGTTTTCACTTAAATATTTGATAGTAATAAGAGTGGTAATAGCTAGTATTTGTTGATCCCTCACTATGAACCCATTTAAGTTTCATAGAAGCTCTATAACAAGGAATGGCAAACTATGGCCCAAGGGTCAAGTCCAAACCTGCCACAAGTTTTTGTATGGTCCCTTAGTAAAGTATGGTTTCACACAGTTGAAAATTTTTGGCATGTGAAAACTATAAGAAACTCAAATTTCAGTATCCATAAATAAAATTTTATTGGAACACAGCCATGCCTATTAATGTATGTATTGTCTCCAGTTGCTTTCATACTGTAACAGAAGAGTTGTTCAAAGAAACAGTAGAATCCAAAGGGCCTGCAAAGTCAAAAATATTTGCTATGTGGCATTTTACAGGAACATTTGCTCAGCCCTGCTCTATAAGGTAGATGCTGTTATCATCCCCATTTTACAAATGAAGAAAACAGAAGCTTAGAGAAGTTGATGCTCCAAAGCTACAGAATTAGTAAGTGTCAAAATGGGTTTTTGCAAATAGGCAAAAAACTTCATTCTCTGAAAAATGGCTATGTGTAACTTGTATTAACAACTCTTTTGTTCATTCATCAGCACCTTCTGTTTCCCATCCATAGGTGAGAGGAGGTATTTACAATGACCTCTTTCTTACTGGAAGCTCAGCCTTTGGCGGCCTTCAAACAGTATTTTAACAGATGAACTACTCTCATATTTTTAAAATGAAAACAGAAGCTGGAGGTTAAGTTACTTTCCCAGGATAATGTGACATGATATCCAGGCTTATTATCTCTAAGGCCAGTAGTTCAACTGGTAGGGTGGGCCTAAGGTTGGGGACTACAGATTCTCTCTTTTACCTCAACCCAGAATTGCAGTGAGGTTATGTTACCAGAACTTTGAGCATGGATCCCACACCTCTCTACTTGAACCCACTGGTGACATCAGACACACTAGCTAGGCCATACTACATTCTTTCACTTATTCAAGGTTTATTGAACTTCTACTCTCTGCCCATCATTGTGCCACATGTTAGGAATATAAAGGCAACTAACTGTAGGGTTCTACTCTGGAAAAGCTCATTTATCAAGTAAACTGAAAGCCACCTGCTAATTTGTCTTTTCCACAAAAAATGGAATGGATTGCATTCATTACTTCATTTGAAATAAATATTTTTTAACCAATGAGGACATTCCAGGCACTATGCTAAATGGTAAAGCATACAGAAATAATTCCTGCTTCTTGGAGTTTATAATCTATGGGGAAGGTAGTGAACAAGTAATTTTAAATATAATGAATTTATTGTATGATTCCAACCTACACTACTGAGTTGCTTCAGTGCAGTTAAAAATGATATTGTCTGGCCTGTTTCCTCATTGTGGTAAGTTCTAAACCAAACAAAAGCCCCCCAACAAGACCTGGATGAGATATACCTTCCCCCAAAGAGAAGAGACGCTTGAGAAAACTGAAATGGTTTAATGTTCCTAAATTAAACGATAATAACAATTAATATTATGTTATATTTGATAGATTATTAAATCGTTTCACATACAATATCCATACGATTCTTACAAAACCCCTGTGGGTTAAGTAGTAAAGATACTTTTATCTCCATTAATCTCATTTATTATCTTCTTTATCTAAGGAGCAGAGCTGAATTGAAAACATTGGTCATTTCACAGCACACCGGCATCACCAACACGGGCAAGACCCCTCGCGTTTACCTGATTGCCTCTCTTCTTCCCCGTCTTCACTCGCACTCTCTTGTCCAATAGGCACCCGCTCTAATACACACAATACTACACATATACTACATGAATAGACATGCTTAAATACTGTATTATATATATTTAAATTTTTCTGTGCATTTTGATGTTTTGACATCTTGAAAAACCTCTCTCACTGGGGAAAGATTGCCCCTCTGGGATGTAACCAATTCTTAACTTTAGCCAAGGTCTCAGCAGGGAGTTTACCTTTCATTAGCAAACTAACCATCCCAGGGCCAGCCCTCCTCTATCCATCCCACACTCCAGGAGGCAGTGTATTCCTCTGCTTTAATTATCCCAGAGCCAAGTCCCAGGCAACTAGACTTCTCTAGTTTAGAGCCCGCCAAAATTATTCAGACTAGCTAGTCCTGAACCATTTCCCCTGCCCCGCTTTGCCCTTCCCTTGGAAGTCCCAACAAAGGCTCTAGCCTGGCTCTCCCTTGCTCCTGTCTTTCGCTTCTTGACCATGTTCTTCCATGTGGTCCTGCATGGCAGGCCTTACCTCTTGTTCTAGGAC